ACAGCCGAGAGGCGGTCACCCGCCTCCTCCAGCCCGCAATACACGTCCAGCTGCTTCTCTACTCGCTTCATATTCTCCAACCCGCTCTCGCTCCACTGGACCCGGACATCACCCGTACTCGTGCTGCGCATGAAGTCGGCCTCGATGGTCAACCCCCTGAGCTCCTCCTCAGTCAAGCGCCTGAGGGGCGCGCTTTTGTCGGCTGGGAGCTCGACGGAAGTCTTGAAGTCGAAAGTGCCAGACGAGTCCGGCCACACAATGGAGAGGGTCTCGAGCGAATGGAGCCTCCTCATGGTAATAGAGATGTGTAACCCCCAGGCCGTCCATGAGAAGGCGATTGCGAGATGCTGAATCTTGGTAACCCATTCTGGGCCGTTGACGCCGCACTCGTTGAGCACGAAGTGCTCGAAGGCTATCTGATCTTCGCTGATGTATAGTATGTCCCTATCGGGGTCGTAGGTGCGAGTTGGTCCCCCGGACATCAGGGCTACGTCGCGCGCCTCGGTATTCGTTTCTAACAGGGCCTTGTTGCGCGGTTCTTGTACGAGGAGGCGGGGTTCCTCTCGCGAGGCTTTGCCGCGTTCGGCGAAGAAGCAGACTCCTGGCGTGGATGTCGGCAGGGAGGCAGCAGCGCTCCAAACACTTCTTCGAATCTCGGGCGGGAGGCGACCGAAGGGCTCAAACTCAACGCCGGCGGTCGGAACTGGTTCTTTTCCCTCTGGTTTCCTTGACTTTGCCATCGTTTCTCTCCCCTCGTTTTGTTCAAAGTTTTGGGGTTCGTGATTGTCGAGCGAGCTTGTTGCCATTGAAGGTTGCTCCCAAAGTGAGGGAGAAAGGAAATGATTGAAATGATCTGTGCCTCCTATTGCATGAGTTTAGTACTCGCAAGCCTCCATGGGATACAAAAGCCGCTTTGCCAACGTGGCGTTTCCCGAACGATTCGGGAGTTTTGTGGCCCTGGAAGGCACCAAAAGAGTTCAGGCTGCTGTTGGGGAACGCATGTGGCTGAGATGTAGGACCGAGGCGTGGCCCAGCTGGTTGGAGCCCTGGCTGGCCAGGTACATACATACCGTATTTATTCCATGCGGGGCAGGTCTTTAAACTCCGAGGGGAAGGAGCCCTACGGCGCAGGGATCAAGATAATTCTTCACCCACAAGGGGCATGATTATTTGGCAGAGCACATGCACGGTATCTTGGTTTGAAGCTAGGCTACCGGTTTAAGTTTGGTCTGGCATGACATTTCCAACTCGGGGCCCCAAGCGGCGGATGTAGAAAAGTAACAAAAAGTGAGTGTGAGAACGGAAATCCATCGCAAAGAAAGTATAAAGCCCGAGTCTTGGGGTGTTGTTCAACTCCTTCCATTCCAATCTCCCCTCCCCCCTTCTTCCCCTCCTTCAACCCCGTAATCTTTATCCATTTTATCAACACTGCATTCCCGCGTCGCTTAACAGTCGACCGACACGGAGCCGTAAAGGATGGTCCTGCAGCCATCGCCCTGGGTGATGACGGCAGACCCGCCACGGCAGTTTGTGCCGCTCCACGTGACTACGTTGCAGCTGCGAATTGAACAAGACATATTAGTTCTCCGTGTCCATCAACCATATTCTTGATAAGGGACGAGGGATGTGTATTGGTGTAGGTATAGATGTAGCGAAACATACCTTCCAACATTGTGAATAGAACGCTTGCCGGCGGGGACGGGGTAGCAGCGCCAGCCGGTGCCGTCGGGATGAAAGTAGCCATGCACCTGGTCGGTACATCTGTCACCGCCGTACATGTTGAAGTTGGCGGAGCGCTTCTCCAGATCGCCGATGTCGCGGGATGACACGTCCCCAACCTCGCCGGCAGGGGCTGCCAGGGCCATGGAGGTGAAGAGGGAGAAGATGGCGAGGATCTGCTTGGTATGCATGGTAAATAATTAGGGCCGCCGATTAGAAAGCCGTTGATGCTGGGTGGGTGTTAATGAAATGAAGATAGAAGGTGAAGATGCTGGTGCCGATGCTGATGAGGATATACTCGGGGTTGGAGGAAGGGAAAAGAACCCTTTATATACACGGAGCTGCGTGTCCGGAGTTTCTCAATAACACTGGCCATGCTCTTCTTGGTCATCAACGAAGACCCTTGATACAACTGACTCGGAGGCATACAACTGCTGAAACTCCGAGTCCGGACGTGATTAGGGTGAAAAGTTTTGGTTGAGACCAATCACAACATTCAGGTTGACTCGCTGACTACCATTGTTACAGCGTAGTACTATTCATATGCAAGCTTGCTTTTATTTGCTGCATTGAACTTGTGCTAAGTCTTGGGAGTTGATGTTTTTGGTCGACCAATGTGGTCTGCCAGTATTTACAGACCTTCCATGTTGAGAATGTCTCCCTTTTCGTCACAGGGGATTTTCGTGAGCCGGGGACGTCTTCATTGCTCCCCCCAGCTCAGTACCTACCTCCGTACCTATCGGATGCAACCCTTGAACTTCCCGCTCCGCACGTTGGACGAGCTGATGTAAAATTGTAAAACGTCCATCAAGTCCTAACCATAACATCTGCAGCAAAAAGGACGCGCTAAAAGGAGGCCGTTGGTCTTCCCCAGGCGCCGAGGGCGCTTAATTCGACTCTTAACCGGCCTGGCTGGGCGGCGTGCTCAGAGAAAAGGCCCTTGCTGACCTCCTGCATTCATCCATAGGATCCTGCTCTTCACTCGTCCCTGGCATCTTCCCCTCTATGTTTACGACACCGGCGTAAGCTGAATGCATGAACCTCGAGCGGCGACTCTCGTGGTTGTTAGCACCTCGCCGGCTCGCCCGCTAGGGCAAAAGCCGGGCTAACATCAGGCTAATAAGAACCGTACCACCTTCCTCCTCCCCATCTTCTGCACTACAGCCAAGTCTTCTAGGGGTCGCAAACTGTGACAGTGAGGCTATGGCCTTTAGAAACCACCCGCTTGTGTAACTCTCAATTTGTGTAACTACGACATTCAAAAGGTCCAAACATTAACGGATGACCGATTCCGATTGGGGTGTATAGCCGACTGGGTGTGGATGACGTTAGCCTGCCCGCGCTTGGCAACATCCATCACGGCTGATTGATAGGTACGAATAGGCGAGGTCGCAACTCATATGGTCACTGCGTCAGCTGCGGCCAGCAATTTGTTCATTGGGCAGGCTCGGTGGCGCAGTGCCCTTCTCCCGCAACTTGTCGACCAGCGTGGGATTGTTTTCCCGTCATTCCTCTTATTGGCTTCTGCTAATGTCAAGTGTGATATTGATCTCGTTAGTTTGTCACGGACGGGACAGACAGGTAGTTCAATGACAGTGGTATTCGGTGAGGTACGGGCAGGCTCTGTTGTCAAGACGTCGCTCAGAGAGCAACGAGTGACAAGTCTCGCGGCAGCGAGGCGCAGCTTCTTCAATCCGTAGGAGCCCGTGCTCGCTGCATGTCTGCCCCCACCTGTGGATCCCGGCAGGAACGGCGCAACCGCTCTTACCGTCCACAATCCAACGGTTCGCATCTACGTTAGCGCAAGCATAGAAACTGAACAACACGGTCATCTACCGATTGATCGAACAATGGCTCCCAGCAGCCAAGACGCGCCTAAAGCAGGAGAGCCACCCCAACCCGCCAAACCGCCAGCCGCCAAACCGCCATCCGCCAAACCGCCACCCCTACCAGCCGAGAACGTGAACCTCAATGATGGCGTCGACTCAGGCTCGATGACCACGAGTCGCCTGGCGAAGATGTACCGAGAGAGGATGCTGGCCCGCGGAGTACAGATCCCCAATCCGCCACCTCCACCGCCGACGCCATTGAGCAATCCGCTAGCGAGAACGCTGCTCGAGGCCGGTGGCGAGGTCATCTCCAAACATATGACCAAGTGCGTTGTCAAACATGTCTGCGGTACCAGAGTCTCCAAATTCTACAGCCTCGGGGACTGCCTCTCGGAAGTCGAAGCCATGCGCTTCGTTTCGAGCCACACCAGCATCCCCGTGCCACGGGTGTATGCTGCTGGGGAGCATCACTTCACTATGGAGTTCATCGAGGGCGAGACGCTCGAACAGGCGTGGGGAAACACGCTTTCGGCCGAAGACAAGACCCTTGTTTGCCGCTAGCTTAGGGATTACATTAGCTAGCTACGCGCTATCAAAAGCCCAAACGGCCTCATCTGCTCTTTTGGTGGGCGACCGGCTGTCGTCGCCCGCCGCCGGTTCGCTTATAGAGGCGGACCGTTTACTAACGAGGCCGCATATAACGACTTTTTGCTCTCGGATCTTATCGTGCCTCCCAAGATTCGCGATATGATTCGCCGTCAGATGCGAACAGACCACGAAATTGTACTGTCACACGGCGACCTACATCACATCAATATCATGGTGCGGCCGGGGGTCGGCGTTGTGGCTATCATCGATTGGGAGAAGGCAGGTTACTACCCGGAGTACGTCGACCTGGTCACGCCACTCCGCGTGCCCCAATGGTCATGTGGCTACTATGACGAGCTTGTCAATTTTTTTCCGCAGCACTACGATGCCGAGTTTATGGTGGATCAGGTTCTCAGTCAGTGGAGTAGGCACTGATGTCTGTTTATAGAATGACACCACGCTTCGAGGGTGAATGGCGCTAGCGAATTAGACTTTGTGGCCTACTGGGCCAACAGTGCGGTGGCCCTTGGGATCAGACCTACTAATATCAAGTCATGAAACTTTTCTCCGTTGTACCCCGACGTGCTGTGTTTGTTGTAGTGGAATCAGTCCGTGAAGGCTCAGAGACCGTAACACGCAACTAATTATTGTAGCCTCAGGGCTTAGAAAGGAGAGAAGGAAGTGGGGGACGTTTAATCTCAATCTTACCCCTTTTCCAAGTTCGGCGTGCACGGCGTGCAAAAGGCAAGTTTTTGAATTCGCCGCCCTGAATGGTCCGCGGGCGGGATGCGCGAGCGTTTAAACTCCACTCCAATCCCCATTCTCTCGATAATAACCGGAAACTTAGCCGGCACCATTCAACAAGGTCCGCTGGCTCAATGGCAGAGCGTCTGACTACGACATGACTCCTCATTCTGGGATTAACATCCCCAGGAAAGGATCGAGTAATCAGGAGGTTCCAGGTTCGACCCCTGGGTGGATCGAGATAACTGGTCATGAAGACCACAACTTGTTTTTTGAAGACTTTACTTTTTATCCTAGAGTGCAAAATCCCGCACCCATCTCCGAACACATGTTTCCAACACAACACCAACTTCTTCGGCGGCTGTTCTCCCCAATACTCGGTAGTAGGACAGCTAAAAGTACCTTACCTAGGTACCTAGGTTATTAGAGTAGGAGGTAGGGTTGTGCGAGTACGAGTCTGTGCGAGGATATTGGACTCGACGAAAATAAGCCTATTATTATTATTAAATAAAAAGACAGCTCAGAATCTTAGCTAGTAAATATCTGTAGCTCTGTGGTCACCAAAAAGAACATCCAAGCGTTGGTGTTAGAATGTTCCCTTCAATTCAGGGGTGTTTAAACCAACAAGGGTTTTTGCTCGACACACGACTCGAAACCACACCCTCCTCGGCCTGCCTGGAGAACAACACGCTCCACAAATCAGTGAGGACCACACACTCCGCCAATCAGGCTGTCCCAGCCCAACCCAACGACGATGTCCAACATCCAACACGTCCAGCTCATGTCTTGGCACGTGCCTGGTTGCCTCGAAGAAGGCGTTCCCCGCACGATGCTGTAGGCCTCAATTCTTCCGGGCAACTCCATTCAAATCCCCTCAGAGCCCAGCCATATCCTAAGCCCAAGGTAAAGAAATCCTCGCCAGCAAGAGATTGTTCAACTTTCGGAATCATACTAGTAGCTATCGACCTCCTTCACTCGACATCAGCCCACTGCCAACCAGCGCCATGGCTTCAGGCCCCGAGCCGATGATAAAGGACGACCAGGGCCAAGATTCCGACACCGAAACTATTTTCACGGAAAACACGACGACCGCGGCCACGAGCTTCTGGGACCATACTGCCGTCCGTGATGCGGTACCTTGGGCTGGCGAGACCTTCATCATCGTTGAGAAAGCATCCGGCCGGGTGATCAGCCATACGGACGGCAACTTACGACTTGAGGACAACACAGGGCGGAAGGGCTGTTGGCACTGGCTATGTGTCGAGAAAGATGGGTGGTTCGGATTTCGCAATACGGCGTCAGGAATGTATCTCGGGGCCAACTTTTGGGGTACCGGTAATCTCCAGGCCGAGGTCAAACATCACAAGGGTTGGGAGTCCTTCTCCACGAGAAGACATCCAAACGGGGGTTACCTGCTGCTAGCAACCAAAAACGATTGGAAGTTGCAGAAGGTGGGCCTTAACCAGGACGGCGATGGTTTGGTTGCAAAGGTGGATCATAAAAATGCCATCGTGTGGGAATTTGTAAAGGTCTGAGCGGTTCTGCTATAGTTGCTATATCGGTAGTATCTCTAGACGTACGGAAACCTCCACTTGCATGTACGGATGACAGCATGCGTGGATAGTCCACGCCAGAAACTAGCTGCGGGAGGCTGGGCACCATCCTCCACCAATGCTAAAGAATCTGTGTGTCGAGCATATGTTTGCAAGAGTTACCATATATCCTCCTTCGTTGGCTTGTTCTCGTGGACCTTCCTCGCCTACCTAGGTACCTACCTAAGTTGCCAAGCATGTGCTGCGCAATCTCGAATTTCCCTTGCAACTGCATATGGCCTTTCTCAGGACGTACGGCGCACTAAACCCAGGAAAGATAACAACATACCCAGCCCTAGTCTCATAGGGGCCAGCCCGACATACCCCTTTCCACACTGGGCAGGGAACGGCCTCTTCTTCGCCCACCGCAGCATCGTGTCAGTTAGCACAGGTGGTGTATAGGAGTCATTCTAAAATTCACTGAGTTTGAATGTGCGATATATAGGTTTATTTATACATTTTCCGGCCCCTGTTGGTTCTCAAGACTCTCCAGCATCACCGTTTCCGACGGCAACGTCTCATCCCGAAACGCCTCTCGGTACGCGGTAACCGAATCCCAAATACTCACCAGTCCCGCGCAAATCCCAATAACCAGCGCAAAGACCTGATCGAGATCACTAAACGCAATCATGCTCGACGGCCCAAAAGTGCACTCCCGCCCCTGCGTCGAGAGATACCAAAACGGGACGACAACTGTCCCGAGGAACAAGTCCATAAAAAACCCGGCACCGAGCAGGAACGAATAAACCACCAAAAATATCGGGACAGCAAGCACGACGACACCAGGGATCCACAGTACGAGATTCAAGTCAGAATCCGAGATTGCAAGCGCCATCACCGCCAACATGGCAGAAAGAACGGCCAGATACCCCATGATCTCGACGGGCAGACCGTTAAGCTCGCCGCACCCGACGCCCGGGATCATGCCCGACTTTGCAGACATGAGGCTCATGGAGATATTAGTGAGCCGACATCCGCCTGGCCACGCCCAACCCGCCGGTGATGCTTGGCAATATAATGGTTTCGTGACGACGAGGCACCAAATCATGGTTACCCAGATCAGTACCGTCCTGACGAGGTGTCGAATCCCACTGCTGGGTTTTGGTGAGTAAACGGCCGCGATAAGCGGGCCGAGCACCATGGGCAATGTCGAAATTAAAAAGTGGTTTATCACGACCAGGGAAGCGCGGATGCTCAGGATGTCAGGGACCGCGTCGTCGCCGTCGACCGCGGGTACGAATGATGGGTCGGTGTACCCGAATATTTGGTGGAAGTTGACTCGGTCCCAGCGGAGCTTGACGTCGCCGGCTGCGACGCATGGTAAGGCGAGGGCGATGACTAGCTCTGCGTCGCGTCGTACGTACCATATCCACTGCCGGAAGAGGTGCCAGTACCCGGACACTGTTGATGATGGTCGAGTTAGGCGTCGTCCTAAAGACGGACGGATCCCTGAGAAAGCAGCTGCGATTACGGCGATGGCCCAGGCGATGAGGGTGCCGCCGCCGTATAGACCAGATATGGGTGATATTTCGGCAGGTGTTGCTGTCCTTAAAAGTTAGTCGCAATCTTCTGTCTCGACGTCCTCATCACGTACAGAAATCCTTGTACTGATACTGAGCTGGGAAATGATCTCCCAGCACAGTTGACGGCACACTAGTTGTAAAATTCGGGAATATCGGCCGCCCAAACGTGGCACATGATCGCATAAAGATCTCGGCCGTATCCTGGGCTTTCCCAGGCTCCTTTTCGCATCCGTTCCAGATACAGTCCCAGACATACAAGTGGGAAACACCCTCGGGTCTGGAGTCGGGACAACAAGTCCTCTCGTCGCGCGAGCATCTTTCGTACCAGTATCCGGTCTCTGTGGACGTCAGACAAGGCTGTGCGCATATTGGCACGTCACGCCAGTCGTACTCGCCCTGGTCGGGCTCGGGGGTGTATGGGAAGGCCATGATGCGACCCGCGTCGGGGAGAGACGGCAGATATTGGGCCCGGAGAAGGGATAATAAAGTTAGGAATCAACAAGAATTGACTTCAAAAAAGTCGAAATCCGGTCAGGCCGCGGGGGTTTGATGAGTCCGGGCTGGTGGTGGCTATGCATGCATATTGTCGGCCATGGATAGACCTGCGGCGTCTAATCTCTTGGCTTTGATAGGTAGGCACCTCATGAGGCCTCCTTTCTGAAATGGTGCTAGTTTACCTCTGCGTAACGCATGAGATTTACGCCCAATATCTACCTTGCCTATCGTATCTTCGAAGGGGGCTCAAAATGTGCACAAGTTGCACACATGCCGAATCACGTTGCCTGCTACCAGTTTGTGGTTGGGTTACTAATGTCAGCGTACATGTAGGCAATTTTGACGGTTGCTATTTGAACTGTAAAGTATTGCCTAGGTAGATACTCGTCTAAGCCATGTTTGGCGATTTCTCTGATCACTTCCTGAGCAACGCCCGAGTAGCGCCTGAGCAAGGTGGCTTGAAACAACAATTATTCCCCTCCAGCTGAAGATGACGCCCCCGAAGTACCGCTAGTTGCCTCTTCCTTCTGGTACCGAATGGTAGCCCGGGCCTCCTGTATCCTTTTCTCCTCAGCCTTTTTTGTCTTTTTTCTTTCCCCTGTAAAACATAGGTAGTCAGTTATCCTCGAGGTCTGTGGCCCACAGATACACATACTCCATGATTGGTATCCCGGAATAGCCAAGTACCCGCGGCTAGGACATTCGGTTGCTGACCAAAGCGAACTCCCGATAATGACATCGAAATCGTCATTGTCCACAACCAAAAACCGAGCCTGACGTTGATTGGTATCCTTGAGACGATGCCAATATAGTGTAACCTCGTGGGTGGGTGTAAGGGGGCTCCCAGGGATAGTTAGTAGGGTCCGTTGGTATCCTTCTTAGCGAGCCGCGATGCGGACTATGTGACGCGGTAGACGTTTGTTGTAGATGGGGGGATTATTTAGGTAGGTACAGTTGAGGTCTGGGTCTGGTACACTTTGGGGTGTCTACTCCCGCGGCTGTTTACACAGTAGTGGCGTTCTTGCTTTTTTGAGATTCGATCATTTCACTACCTACCTAGGTACCTAAGTTACTCAAGTTTTGTATGGGTATATATTCTTAGAGAGGAAGGAAGGTGAACTGCGGCTTAGATGAGTTCCGGGACTGCGAGGTTTGAGGCAGGGCTGGCCCCTCCCCCCACACAGGCTCGTCCCCTTTTTTCCCCAGTGATTTGACAGTGAGAATGTTGCCGAGATAGAGGTCCCCAATACTCTTTGATACTGACTATTTGAAATACACCCATGATTACCAATTACAAAATTAAGTAGATCCGGAGTCTCACGGTGACCAAAGAATCTGACGCCGCAAAAACGATCAATAGAAGAAGATTTCGCACATCTATGCTGCTTGGGTGCAGGGACAGTTCACGCGGTATTGTTTGTAGCTCCTCTAGCCGTACTGACTGTCTCGATGATGTGTAAAAAGCGGGATTTGTTGCCTTCAGCTGGGGAGTTAAGGGCACTAGCATCGGAAACCATGCCCGCTTTTCCCGCTTTGCCAGTCAAGAGCAAGGTGAACCCGGAGCAGTCTGCCACCGCCCGCCGTAGGAAAGTAAAATCACCTTACTCGTTCTTGATCTTGCGGTTCTTG